GGCCCCCACAGCGTTCCTTTCTGTTTGAATAACCCTCATATATGGCAAGGGGTCTATGCATCAGGGGTCTACGTTAAGGCATCTTGGCGTTTCTGGGAGCCTGGCATGCCGCAGACAATGGCTCCAAAGGCACGACTACTTTTTCAGAATGCGGCCTCGTTAGTCCAAAGGCCTTCTAGGACCCTAACCCCTAAACCCTAGACCCTAAACCCTAAAATTATATAAAGACCCTTGTAGTGTCTTTGGCCGGAACCCTCAGAGGAAGCAACCTGTTCAGCAACCCTTACTGTAGCCTTAGAGGAACCCTTGATAACAAAAAGGAGCCTTTAAACGATCCCTCAAAGGAATCCTCAACCCTCAAAGGCACCCCTAAACCCTAAAAGCCCTTAAAGGAGCCCTTACAAGTACCCTCGTAGAAAGGAACCGGTCGTTCCCTCAGTGGTCCTCGGGCACTGCGCTGCTCGCAGCTCCTAGAGTCTAGGGTTTAAGGCTCATGAGTTTAGAAATTAGTGGGTTCTTGTTAAGGATTTAATTTACCATAACCAAAAATAATATAGGTACTTATTAAGGCCCCTACCTAAAGCCCCCGCACCCTCACCATCATCCACACGCGTCGGGATGACCCTGAAATCAATATCAACATCTCTGACTCGACGGCGCGACCTTCCGGGCTTCATTGGTGCATCTGTTGTTTTTGTCGTTAGGGTCTAGGGTTTATTTGTGTGTGAGAGAGAGAGAGAGAGTGCGTTTGTTTGCGGTTCTTATCTATGTAAATTTGGCTCCGCGTTTGCGGTTGAAAGTTTATAACGGCGATGTTTACGGGGCTTCGGGGCTCCATAGTCTACCCATAGGCCCCATAGTAGCTCTTGTTTGGGATTACCTACAAGGATCCTAAGTATAAGCCACAAAAAAGAACTACTATGGGGCCTTAGTCTAGGAATCAAGCTGTTAAAGGGTGTGGGGCTTCGGGTTGCCTAGAAGGGACCCCTAATCCAAATACCCTACATAACCCTTATATACCCCTTATACAGTCTCATAAAGCCCCTAGATAATTATATAACCCCAAGGGTCCCTTTGAGCGTCCCTCCTTTAGTCCCTTGAGTCTGGGATATTCAAGCGGTTACCCTAAACCCTAAACCCTAAACCCTAAACCCTAAACCCTAAACCGTGGCTTAAACCCTAAAGGGTCTTGGGGCTTCTGGTTGACAGCCCGGTTTCCTCAGTCGCATGAGCCTTCAGTCAAGCTCCTTTAATATCATTACCTATAGTATTTGAGGGTTCCTGATTATGGTTATAGTATAATATACCCCAAAACCCCATTCTACTTAAATCCTAAAGCTCTTCGCACCCCAAACCCTACAACCTAAAACCCAAATCCAAAACCCTAAAATCCCTAGGCCCTAAACCCTAAAAGCCGAAATCCAAACCCACAATCCTAGGCATACAAGATAGAGTCCGGAGACCCGCAAGCCCCAGACCCTAAACCCTACCTATAAACCCCAAGCCCCAACTTAGCTGACTTCTGAACCTCTCCTTAAAGCTAAACTTTTAGCCGATTAGAGTTCATGAAGAACCCAAAAAGTTAGAGTCCCAAGAGCCAACCAGAAGAACTCCAAGCTAAATGCTAAACCCTGAAGCCTGAAGCCTAAACCCCTAAAAAACTCTAAATGCTAAACTCTAAAGCCTAGCCATTGTGCCCTGCTAAAGTCTCATAAAAGCCCATAGCGGGCAACATAAACCCTACTTGGAGGGTTTGAGGTTCAGGGTTTATAGGGTTTAGGGTGACTTACTAAGTCGGTAGTAAGTAGAATTATAAGTACCTAAATAGGGTCCTAATTCGGGTTATGGTACTTTATAATCTATAAATCAACTACTTACTAAGCCGCCCGACCCTCCAACTGTAGACCCCGAATCCTGAACAGTCTAAGCCGCTAAACCCCTAAACCATCATAAGTCCTAAACACTCAACCCGAATCCCCTAAACTCCTTTATCCTCTACCCAAAAAGACCTAGGAGTTAGGATTGGGGGGCCCCTTGGGGATATAGACCCTCTCAATAAGGTCCCTCGTAAGACAGCCAAAAGTAAGCGGTCTTCTACTACTACCTGCCAAACCCTCTAATCCCTAAACGCTGAACCCTAAACCCTAAACCCTAAACCGAAGACCAAAATGGAGTCAGAAGGCCTGCTGCACCCTCCTCCGGCCTCCAGAAGCCGACTCTGTAAGACTACTTACGGTTCGGGGCTGAGGGGACGTTTATGGTGAACAGTACGGGTTTAGGGTCTAGGGTTTATGGTTTGGGGGTTTAAGGTTTAGGGTTTAGGGTAGTAGGCTAAACAGGGTTCGAAGCAGATGTACCTGTAAACCCCTAAAACCTATAAACCGCGTTATCTCACTTCTAAGCCCTACTTGCCAAGTCCTTCAAGACAGTGGGTTCATTTTGAAGGTTCGACGGTTTGGGGTTCCTTTAAGGGATCTGTCGGGGTTAACAGTTCTAACGGGTTGACCCTTGGGCCAAGTTTTGGCAATTTTTCTTCTTCTGAGCCCTTCTCTTAGTCCTCAAACATTGAAAGCCACAAGCCCTTCATAACCCTAGACCCGCTGAGTGTAGATGCCCACGCAGGGGCGATAAGGCTGCTTAAGTTGTGGCTTTATAGTGTAGTACCATAATAATCTACAAAACATAACTACAGCCTGCCAAAGCCCCATTTAAAAACCCTTCAACGACCATTGTACACCCGATGATTACCATTGCAACGTTGCAAAATCCCTCAACACCCCTAACCCTAACCCCTAAACCCTGAACCCTAAACCCCTACACCCTAACCCCTACGCTCTAAACCCTTAAACCTGAACCACCAGATCTTAGACTTGGTTGTTGTCAGACTTCCGCCGTTTGGAGCATCTGTGCCAACACGAAACAGGATCCCGGTCTCTGCCAATCTGAATGGGTTTAGGTTTAAGGTTGAGGGTTCAGGGTTTAGACGACATCTAACTTAAGGTTTCGGGTTTCGGGACTCAGGGTTTGGATTTCAGCGTCAGTGATTTCAAAGAGGGTCCAAGGCTATCCATGCAGTTATAATAGCATGTTAAGATGGCTCCGCAGGATTTTGCTTCGGCTCATATGCTTTTTGTTTTTACCATTTCTTCTTGAGGCTGTTGCATGTTTGGCAAAGTGGCAGTGTGTCACAGGCCCAACACCCCCAAAATCCGACCCTAAGGGTCTAAAGGACCCAACAATTAGGTACTTTGGTTAGGCATAGTAGTTATCTGGGTTAGTATTTGGGAGAGTATATAACTGTTGGGTGCTTGGACCCTTACCCAAGGGCTCAACATAGCCCAAAATAAGCCCTGTGTAGTTTCGTCTTTCGGCCCAAAAGCCTCAGAATATGAGTCCTGAGAGCCTT